CGAACGGCGACCTTCTTGCTGCGACCAACTGCACCACCTTGCAGCCCAAAGTGATAAATCCTCTATTCTAAATAAAGATCTTTCCTTAAAGTGTGTTTTACATCAATGTGGTAGTTTTCTCCAGGATGCCTTTTGTTATGCTCAAAGATGGCCCCGTTCACCTCCGTATGAACGTCAACAAGATGAGTTTTCCTGTCAAAACACAAACAAGATAACAGTTGAGTTTCTGTGAAAACTACAAGAGCAGAGGCTGAATTGATTGTTGACTCTTTGGCTGTACCTCCTTTGGGCTTTTTCTAAGCCGTCTGTCAGGGCCTTCAGGTAAACCGAGCGATGCTGCCCTCGCTCCAGCTGACGTTCATCCGTCCAGCAGTGACTCCAGAACACATCGGCAGCTGTAGGGATTTGATTGCATATGGGACGTCCGTCGCAGCCGTCTGTCTCCAGGTCCTCATCCCGGTGGTCCACCCTGGCACAGGGCATGTGCTCTGGAGCGCTGTACCTCTGGATGAAGAAGAGTTTGGGCTTGCCAGCCAGCATGGGGCACTCGTCGGCGCTGAAAAGACGCCTGACAGCGTCCATAGGTAGACCTCTGCCGTACATATCTGTACCCAGGAGATGATTGGCTGTACCGCGGCTAATGATGCAGCAGACAAAGCCATCACCTCTGTGGGTCTCCCTCTGTCGGATGGTTTCTCTGAGAACTGAGAGCGTGTCTTCAGCACTCAGCCACTGGTAGAGGGTCACGTTGAAGTGAAGAGCCTTAAATGTCTGTTTCAACATTTCTGAGAGACCGAGAAAGGATGAAACACAGATGAACCGTTACCTTGACGATAAATAGAAAAAGATAAACGTATTGTACTCTGACTGATATAAACAGTTTACATACTTGGCTAATTGTTTCAGTTTTCATTCAAACACTTTAATGATACATGTAACTCAGTACTTTTACTCAAATGTGGGACTTAAGTACAATTTTGAGGCGCTTTTCTCAAGTATTCTCATTTTTTTGACAACTTCATACTTCTACTTGAGTATATTTTAAAGCCAATTATTGTTTGTTTTTGCAACACTACATTTACCTGACAGCTTTGATTAGTTTTCAGAATGAATATTTAGCATCAAAATATGCATGTTACACTACTAAAAAACAGCACATTGCTCTTTACTTATTCCTCCCAATGTTTTCGGCTTGAGATTTGTGGCAGTTCAAACAAATTTACTTCAACTTCTTACACTCCTCTATTTGAAAAAAGAACAGTTTGGGGCTAAAACAGGTAAAATATGCATTGTTTCACAAAAATGCAATATATATATATTAGTTAGAATTAGCTCCATCCTGACCACCTACAACAGTGACATCCTGCTGACACACTGATGCATCACTATTAACCATCTATTACGTGGTGATTAAACTTTTCCATTGTTATTCAAGCAAGATTTTAAATGCATGACTCGTACTTGTAAGGGAGTGTTTATACGTTGCAGTATTGGTCATTTTGCTAAAATAAACAGCCTCACCTCCATCATTACCCACGCAGTCGATGATCACACAGACTCCTCTGGGTTTTGTGTTAAATTTGTACCAATCTATCTGACTCTGAAACGCAAGGAGGCAAGAGAAGAAGTTTCATAAATGCACTCAACGAACTCAGAAATACAGAAAAAAGAAATGCTCCCAGAGTGAATCTTACCGCACAGCTCTGCTCTCTGTATACAGGCGCATTCACTCTGGCTGCTGACAAAGTGCAAAACAGTAATTAGCACAACAACATGAAAAACACAGATAACATGGGAGTTTCCAGCAGTAACTGGGTAACTGTAAAACACCCCCATGACATACTGTTTACCAAAAATCTGTCCCACTGGGTAGAAAAGGGACTTTTGACAAACAGTATCTCAGGTCTATGCTGTAATAATCTTCATAGTAGCTATAATTTGCTAAATTGTAGTTTTTCTTACCAGCGAAGAAGGGCTGTCTTTGTGGTATTGGCTGTAGAAAAAGAAAAACAGAAGATGTTAGTTATTTTCTGTTAGAAAACTATTAGTTTTCTGACAGAAAATAATAGGACATGTTAAATAACTGTGTGCAGTGTTTTACTCACAGAAGCTGTGCAGCTTGGTTGAGGTGAATGCTGTTCAGGTATCCCACCTGTAAACAAATACACAGATGAATGACAGGAATAAAGTATAAGTTAATATGCCATTTTCCTGTTTTTGTTTGGATCAATAAAAGAAGTTTGATGAAGTTACAGTCGTGGCTCGATAATAAAATGTAAAACCTTCTTTTACGTCGGATAGCAAGGCTGTCGGATTGTCAAGACGGAGGTCGAGATACAAGGAGGGCTTGATGCTGGAAGGCTCATTAGTTGTTAATATTTATTGTTTATAGTTGTTATAATAACTAGTGTATTGTTAGAACACTATGCAGTGCTGGTATTCACGCCTAATTGACCGCTGCGATTGTGCACGTTTCAGTCAATTCCACCCCGAGGGTGCACTCCGACTGGGTGGAAGTGGCTGGAAGCGCTCACACTTCTGTTTCCACCATCAGTGGTGGCGGCAGCAGGGAAGTAACAGATATACTCCACCGTTACATCCGTGTTTACTTCCATAAACACTGAGCACGCTCGCTGCGTGTGACGTCGTCGTGTCCTCTTCAGCGCCTGCGGGACACTTTTGGGTCATATGAAGTTCAGTCATATTTAACTGGAAATGTGAAGGAACTCACAAAAAAAATCTGAATTGAGCATTAAGTCCTGCAGTCTGAACGTAGCCAATCTGTGGGATTGTTCAGTCAGATAATACGCCGTTATCCTGATTTGTGACATAAAATGTCATGTCGGAGTCGGAATGCAAGGCTGTCAGTATGTTTAGGCTGTTTTCTATGGGTTCATTTTCCTAAAAACCTGTCGGATAACAAGGTTTTCAGATTGTTAAGGGTCGGATTATCGAGTCACGACTGTACTTGGTTCGAAGCCTGTCTAATATAAATGTAGTTCCCCAGAAAAATGTGCCTACATTTTAGTTCAAACCAACAGTATGCAGAAATGTGCATTGCAAAAGAAAAGTTGTATATTGGTTTAATCAGGGTTTGTTTTCTTTGTTGTTTATATTAAAATGGATTAATTAGATTTGGAATAAGCTTTCAACGTACAGTCGGGGCTACGGTGCAGAAAATTATTTAATATGTAATCTGCCCTAAAGGTAATGATCTCCATGTGCCTAACTGTCGTATAATATCTCACTACAGCTGTAAACTTGGCATCTTGCTGAGATTAATGAATAACCAGAAGAGATTTTTCAGCTCTGTGGGTTAAATAAAACAGAATATGAAATGTGTTCTGTTTTGTACCATTCTTTATATCCTCATCTCATCAGGAAAAAAATGTATTTAAAGATGGTGAAACACACTTCTGTATAGTCAGTGTTTCAGAAAAGTGCACGATTAATGGAAAATGCATACAGCTTGAATACTGTTTTTTTTCTGTAAAACATAATTTGGCTCCTATTCTTTGGTTTATGAACTGCAGCAACTGCAGATATGCTGCAATGATGTGAGTTTTGGAAGTTGACTGCCACCTGCCACAAGCTGTTTTTCATCCTGTAGATACACAATCGGCCACAACGTTAAAAGCACTGAAAGGTGAAGTGTCGAATATTGATCATTTCATTATACTGACACCTGCCAGGGGGTAGAATACACAGAGGCAGCAGTCAGTTCTTGAAGCTAATGAGTTGGACCCACAAAAAATGGGCAGCATAAGAATCTGAGCGACTTTGACAAGGACCGAATTGTGACGGCTGGACGACCGGGTCAGAGCATCTCCTAAACAGCAGGTCACGTGGCGGGTCCCCAGTATCAAGTGGTTAGTACCAAACCAAAGAAGGACAACAGGTGAACTGGCGACAGTTTTATGGCCGATCAAAGGCTCACCGACGCGAAAGCCGACCTGTGTGGTCTGATCCCACAGGGGAGCTACTGTAGCACAAACCTTAACGCTGCCTATGACGGAAAAGATGCCAGAACACACAATGCGCTGCAGCTTGCTGTGCAGCTGCAGAGCAGTCGGAGCGTCCACGGTGACCTTCGTCCACCGCCAAAAGCTCCAACAATGTGAGCGTCAGAACGGAACCATGCAGCAATAAAAGTAGGTTGCCTGGTCTGATGAATCACATGTGGACGACCAGGTGTGTGTGCGTCATTTTCCTGGGGGAAGGATGGCAGCAGGATGGTAAGAAGGCAAGTGTGATGCTCTGGGCTACGCTTGGAAATCTTGGATCCTGCATTTATGTGAATGTTGCTTTGGCACCAACCTAAACAGACTTCTTCACAACAGTGATGCTCTCTGATAGCAGTAGCTTCTTTGCTGCAAATATTGTTCAGGAATGGTTTGTGGAAGATTGCAAAGAGTTAAAGGTGGTGATTTGCCTCCAGAATTCCACAGATCTGAATCATACCGAGCATCTACGGGATGAGCAAACATGTCTGAACCATGGAGGTCCCACCATGCAAGTTACAAGACAAGAAGGATTTGCTGCTAACATCTCGGTGCCTGATACTACAGAACACCTTAAGAGGTCATGTGAAGGCCAGGCCTTGCTGGATCAGAGCTGTTACAGCAACACCAAGGGGAGCTACGTAACAGGAGGTATATGCTGATTGGTGTATCACGCATTGAGCACGAACATGACACTCTACAATTATTTTCTGTTCCCTTTTCTGCATTACAGAAGAATCAGTAAAGCTTCCCCACTTTGCACGTACAGTATGAATGTTACAAACCTGTTTAGTCAAGGTGGACTTCAAGCCATTCAGAATTAAAAGTGAAATGCCGCCTCACCTGCCGTCTTGTAAGCGGTCACTTTTTTGGCTAGATCAATCCTGCCGATGCTTCTCAAACAATCCTCCAAAACGTCGACTCTGTCGGGTGAAACTAAATCGAGCTTCTCGAGTTCAATGATCACATCCAGGAAATTCTGTCACAGAAGAGAAATGGGGAACCTGTGACCTTTTAATGAGTCAGAATGAAAGTTAAGATCATTGTGACATGCAATCAAAACGGAATGTCCTTCAAATAACGTCATAAGAAAATAAATTACAAGAAAACTCCCCAGCCACCCACACACATTACAAATGGAAGAATTCAGAGTGAAAACATGCATTTGCAGCTTTTTTTTTTTTTTACCTTTGCATTCTCAGTCTTCTCACGGGATACTTTTTTGCTCAACAAGAATTTTAAATCCTCCAAATCGGCAATGACCAGATCCTCACATATATTCACCATCAGCACTCTGCATTGAGGAAAACCACGATCACATTAAAACACAGCAAGTAGAATCTCTTAAATATGTATCAACCGTCTCCAAAGCACATCCCACCTGTATCCTGGGAGAAGCTGATTGTACCTCAGACTCCTCTCTACCTCCTCTCTGCTCACTTTAAGCACCTTCTTCAGGATGTCAAAGCGCCCCAATCGCAGCATGAGCTCTTCCAGGAGGAGGTGCGCATTTTCATGGGACGTAACTTTAGAATTCAGCATCTCCTTCACAGAGGCCACACTGCTGTCTGCGTCCGGCCTCTCACACAGGTAGCACAGTCTCCTGCGTTCACAGCTGCTCAGGGAATCCAGGATCTGATTGATCACCTGAAGGCGATCCGGAAATGGCAAGGACTGCGGCGCACTGGAGACTAACATGCTGAGCGCTAAAGAGCGATCCGGACCGATATGCCTGCAAACTGGATCGAGACAAAATAGTTAGACCTGACAAAAACAGTCAAGAAAACAGACAAACAAATGTATCGTTAACTGTACAGAAGCAACTTACCCTACAGCTGTGAAAACATAGAAGAGGCAAGAGTCAGCCTCTAAAAGAGAAGAGGAAACGCGTCGGAAAATGACGCAGACTTAAAAACTCTTTCTGGGGAAGTACCTCATTAGACCAGTCTGTCATGGGTATCTACAGGACTGTGTCGGAAGTCTGAGTGTGGATTCATCAAAGTGGAAAGTACCCGAGTTCTTGTTGCGTTTGGCAGGGTCACAGCTGAAGTGAAAGTGAAAGCAAACATGACGAAAATAAAAAAAGAGAAGAACCAGCGACAGCAGCGCATCCGGTTTGCACAGCTGCGACACTTAACTGTACACAGATAAATAAAACACCGACAAAACATGTATGTATGGAATAAATGTAACGTAACGAAAGTAATAGACTCACCAACCGATAAGACTGTTCACAACGTGACAATATTATTGAATGGTAATAAAACACAAGAAAATAAAATAATGACAAAAACATCAACTTCTAAACGTTTCCAACGTTCAATATTATTTATTTATTTATTTATTTTTAGATATTAATCCCACAAATATTCTGTTATGCTTTGGTTCAGTTACTTTTCGAAGTCAGATTTCACAAACCCTTACTTTGTGCTCACATCTGTGTGTAAAATGTAAAGCCTCGAGGTGTTTTAAACGTGACATTATGAAATATAAAGTTTCATGATGTCAAATTATTAATGGAAAAAAAACTTCCCCTTTTAAATAAGGACAGACTTTTGGAAAATTGTGTTCTGGAAAAATGTAAAAACAAAGAAGAATAGAACTGGATGCACTTCGATTTTCCAATGAATTGTTTCACACATGATTTTGTTCATAACATTTTGTTCCTTGAAGAACAAGTCTGACTGACTGATTGTTATTGTTGTATATATATGTTATATTGATTTTTTTTTTTTTTTTTAAAAAGAAAGAAAAAGTGAGCTTTTTACAATATTGAATTTGCCTTCTGGGATAAATAAAGCATTTTTCCATTTCATTTTTCATTTCATTTCATTTCATTCATAACAAAATGTATTGATGTGAAAACGTCAGGGCTCCATATATATATATATGTGTGTGTGTGTGTGTGTGTGTGTGTGTGTGTGTGTGTGTGTGTGTGTGTGTGTGTGTGTGTGTGTGTGTGTGTGTGGCTTTAGAGCAGGAATCTATTTAGAATTATTCTAATATACATAATATTCTAATATAAAGGAGTTCTTAACCACAAGTCCATCAGTAACAACTTATATATCGACTGCATTTATCTTTCTATGTACATATATTGTTGCAATTGTCACATTTTACAATAAAACTGCATTTTCTCTTGCTGTCAGTTTCTACAACTTTTACTGTTTTTTCCCCTACATGTCGGTTTATTAAACTGTTAATGCACCAGTGCGCTGAGAGCATGTGCTGAGTTTTCCTACGGCCCTGAACGCCTCCGCGCTGCTCCCCCTGCAGGTCTCGCAGCTTTCTGCTTACCACAGCGCGCTGAGTTCCGCTCGCTCTGGCCAATCGCGTGGCGCTGTGCTTCAGCACCATTGCAGTGTGGAGAGATCATACGGAGGTACTGCTCGCCGAGAGAGGGACCGTTGGAGGGACTCGTACGCGACCCGAGTGACCGCTCTGGGCAAACGCCACCCCCTGCTTCCCCCGGTACGGGCACCGTGTGACATCCTCACAACCAGCTTCAGTCACGGTGAGTGCTACGGTTCGCGGTAACTGGCAAAAAACACTCAGCGTTTTCCAGGTAGTCGCAGCCAAGGACTGCTGGTGACTTGGACCATCATCAGCACTGTTGTGTTGCTGTGGATGTAAACCCGCTGAGGAGGCTGCTCAGGAGCTTGCCCGTCTTTAACTGGGGACCGGAGGCTAAGGTGTCGGAGCCAGGCTGGCAGCAAAGTCAGCCCCACTCGGCCTGGTCACGACTGATGAGAAACGAGTGTGTCCACCAGCTGCTGGCTCTAACAGGCATGCTAACGGCGTGCAAGCCAAGGCTAAGGTAGCTAACGTCAGGTTCAGGCTGTCGTGGCAGTGCTGTACCAAACGGTAGCTAGCAGTTCACCGACGGGCTAACAGAGCTGCGTATCCATTCGGTTAACACGTTAGCTAGCCTGTTTAAGGTAAACCAGCAGATGTGCGGCCACTTAACACTTCCCACCACACATTTCATCCTGGATGTATGTGTAATAATATAATAATAATAATAGCTGAACTCCACGAAACGCTGCAGTTTATTTTTAAACGGCTGTTTTTCGCCCAAGTCTCACATTTTTCAGTTGACATGCAACTTTTTAGGCAGCACTGATGTCCACACATCAGGGGAGCCTCCAGAAATGTCTCACAGTGGTGGCAAGATGCTGGAAATGTTGGGGTGGCTCACAAAAAAACCACATAACTGCTTTCTGTCATGCAGTACTGAAAAAATACTAGAAATCAGATATACTTTGGTTCCTTGTTTTCACAGTGATCCTTTACTAATTAAATGATGTACAATTAACAGTTTGCCCAGGAGGAGATGCCACGCTGCATTTGTGGAGAAAAAGTTCACCTAAAGACAAGACATTCATAGTTTATCTCTGATTTCCGTTCAGTTTATCAAATCACTGCCAATTATGGTGCCATAAAATGTGCTTTCATTGTTGCTTGGCTACCTGTTGCCATATTTTGGTTTAATGATTAGAGAGGTCACGCTCATTAGTCATCCACACGCCCAAAGATATCCCGATTTGACTTCAGTGGATCAGACTTTTACATTAAAATAATCTCCAGCTGTGATGGAGCCCAGGACTGTTGTAACTGCAGCTTGTAAACTGTGAGCATGTGGGAGACCTCACCTGCCTGAAGTGAAGAAAAGAGTGTCATGACACCCTGATCAACCCTGTCTCCATGTCTGGGATATTTTATCATAGTGTATAAATGCTCGGTCCTCTCCCTCTCTGCTGTCTGATGCTGCAGGTATTTATTACACTAAAAAAAAAAAAGGACTCCTACAAACAGCTGGAGGCAACAAACTAAACTTTCGCTCCTGGTTCTGAGCTCTGTGTGTGCGCCTTCATCCCAAAAAAGGCAAACAAACTGTCTTTACACTCTCTCCGAGGTGTTTATGGATCAGCAGAGCCGACTGCTGCTACTCAGAGCTGTTACAGTCATCTGACAGAGCTTTTGTTACACTCAGACACCATCGTTGAATTTAGTGAATGACGCCGACGTATCAGATCTGGGGTGGCCGTGGCCTCCCTTTGCCCCTCCTGTAGAGGCGCCTCTGCCATCTAAGACAAATTAAGGGACGGGTTTAATTCAGTTAGTGACATTAGTTGCCTTAGTAAGGGCAGAATAAATCACTGTTAAGTACAGTAACTTTATTTAAGCTGATTTGTCTAAATGGCCTTTGTCATTTTGTCAATAAGCCTCAGTGGCCAGTCAGAGTATGTTTTTTATGATTAGTCATCATGCCAGTGCTTATTTTCAGCTGCCCTCCCATATGTGTGCCTATGAATCTATGCAATATAATCTAGTTATATTGGATATGAACAAAAATAACCTGTGCAATACTGTGATAATCCACTTCTCACCTCTTTATACCTGCATCATTTAGTTAAAGAGCGGGATCTCACTCATGCCACATTACCTCGTTACTGTCTTTTAACGTGGGTCCATAAATACACGCTTAAATGACTGGATTGTGCTGCAGCTGCTGGCTGTTTCTACTGAGCTTGGTAAATCCAGTTTTCCTTATTGTGCACCGTCAACTTGGAATAACATGCAGAACGGTCCAAAGCTTGACTTAATGAAGGCTTTTAATTTAATCAAGTTTTACTTCCAGCTTCTCTTGTTTTAGTTGAATTTTTTACAACATAAATGCTCTAAATATATATTTGTATTTTTGACTGGCTTGTTATTGTTCCTTATTTGAAGGCCAACATCTTTTATTTTCTTACTCAGCTACACTGTAAATGAGGCCTGCATCCCTCAGTGTGCTCCAAGTTGAAGCGAAGGTTGAATGAATGCCTGGTGCTGTCTTATAAGCTGCACTTGGACACAGGTGTGTGTTCCTCCAGACCAGTCGTTCAGAGCTCGCAGTGACCCACAAACAACTCTCCTTACAATAGCAGCATCTCCTGTTCACTCCCCTCTGCTCTGCCAAGCCAGGTTTTCCTGCCAGGATGTTTCCTGGTTGTCTTTCAACACTGACATGTTGCTGTTTTCAACACCTTTTATACATTAAGAGTGATATTTGTCCGTTTCGAAAACTGGTATGGGTGAATTAATTGAACAGTGCTTGGCGTGACATTTGCCTAAATAAATAAGCCACCATTAAAATAATGGTGTAATGGGCAAAGATGTCGAGCTGAAGATCCAGATAATTCCATGCCATCTGGTGCTCATCCTCAACCGTCATCCTCCTCTCTCTCCTCCTCCTCCCTTGCTGTATCTCTGCCACCATGTGTTTTGGGACTAGGCTATCATCAGAGCTGCGGCCTATTTTAGACAGAAACTCCATTTACCCACTTAATCTGTGTCCCTGTCTCCAGGAGTTGAGTTTCATTCGCAGTACGGTGTAAAAAAATGATAAGGAGAGCGCACTAGAATGTGTCAGATCCTATTGTGGAGTTGCATTTACAGTTATAGGACCGTGGCTTTTATAGAAATCTGTTGAAGTTAATCTTTTAAACTTTGTGTTAGCATTCGAGCTGACTAATAATGCACAACTCTGTCCATTGATTGCACATTTTCTGTAGTTAAATCCAACCATAACTGTATTGAGCCTCATGGTGTGTTACCTCCCTCCCACCAATGATGATGCACACGCTTAGGGGATCAAAGCTGTAATTAGCCGCCATGGATTAGCAATGGAGACTATTTTCCACTGTACGCACTCCCACAGAGCCAGAGGATCACATAGGCAGCTAGCCCCCCCTCTGCTCTTCCTGTTCTTCCAGCAGAGAAAAGTGGAATCCATGTTTGTTGTCCCCACAAGACCACGCATGCGAGACACCTCACGGTTCTTCCCCGGGGAGTTTGAACATACGTTTTCCTTTGTTTGTTGTCAGCGGGCATCCAAATGGGTTTCTTGGTGTACTTAAGTCCTCAGTGAAGTCAATATAGTTGTGTTTCATGCAGTCTTGAGGGTCGGCTGGATATGTGTTTGGCATCCAGCAAGAGCTGTGGTGCTGCTGACTCACTGCACTGCCAGGTATGAGGTCTGTCTGTGTGTTGGCTGTCTGCGTGATGTACAGTATGTCTCTCCGTCAGCCAAACAAGAGTTCACAAGAGACAGAACCGCATGAGGTACATGCTCTCCTACAACTAGAGCTGCAGTAACAATATTTCTCTCGCTAATTAACCTGCAGATTCGTTTCCCCCGTTATCAGTTAGTCTTTAAAATCTCAGGAAATAGTGAAATGCGTCATGTGATGCATTCAAATGGCTTGTTTTATCTGGCCACATATCCAGTGGCTAAAGATACTCTAATTATGTCATATACAGCAAACAAAAACTCCTCTATTACAAAAATAGTTGCTGATTATCTTCTGTCAATCAATTAGTTGAAAAATTGACAACTTGTTGAACTTTTGTTCTTTTGGTTATAGGACAAATATTACAAAAAAATAAGTCACTTCCTCATTTACAGTTGCTGCATTATAACTCATTATT